AAATATACTCAAGCACACGTAATAGTGTTAAAAAAATGTTTTTTATGTTTTGTTTTTTTTAAATAAAAATATAAATATATAGGGGTAATAAAATTGTCTTTTTTTAAAAAAAATTATATATCGTTAAAAAGAAAGATCGAGATAATATAAAATGTCGAGTAGTGCCTTACGTGCAGTAGTCGTTTAAATGTTCTGGAAATCTTACTCTTCTTCTTTCAGAACGCGTCGTTTTACGTTTATTTTCAGATAGATTCGGAGTATCATCGCTAGTGTTGGTTGTCGGTTGAGGAACTATGAGTGTAGGAGTCGCGTTGTGCGATTGTACCGAAGGAAAGTCGACGTGAATGGGATTCCCTTCTAAATACGCTGCTTTTAAGCGATCGATGCTGATGCTATCGTTTGTTCCGTTCTTGTTGACTATATAGTACTTAGATTCACGTTGAAGAACTTTGAAGGGTCCTTCGTATGCCGATTCGAATGGTCGTCGATTCGAGTCTCGACGAACGAAAACGTGTGTACTATATCGTAAGTCAGGTTGAACGAAAACATCAGTTGATTGAGGTCGAGTGGAAGCAGGTTTAACTGAACGCATCGCGTTTGTAAGCCTGTTCGTGTAGGAGGTTAGATCCATGTTCATTGAAAAGGATGAAGGATCCACAAATTCTCCTGGAAGTCGAAATGTCGTTCCATAAACGAGTTGAGACGCAGTGTATCCAATGTCAGCTTTCACTGCATTGCGAATACTTAATAAGACAAATGGAAGAGCGTCGTTCCACTGTGAAACGTTTGCAGCTGATAGCGAAGCTTTTAGTTGTCGGTGAAAACGTTCTACCAACCCGTTTGCTTGTGGATGGTAGGCGGTCGTTCGGAATCGAGTGATTCCTAAAAGTGTGGTCAGACGACTGAAAAGTTCAGATCCAAACTGACGTTCGCGTTCTGTGGTGATGGTTGAAGCGCAGCCGAAGTTTGCTACCCATCGTTCGACGAAGGTGCGGGCCACTGTTTCAGCAGTGATGTCCTTGATAGGTACTGCTTCTGGCCATCGAGTGAAACGGTCTTCGCAAGTTAAGAGATAAGAGTATCCATGTGAATCTGGTAAAGGTCCTACCAAATCCAGATGAACATGGTCGAAACGAGCATCGGGAGTTTTAAATGAGCCTAAGGGATATTTATTGTGTCTGATAACCTTAGATTTTTGGCAGCTTACACAGGAGCGTGCCCACTCCCTCACGTCTTTATTCATGCCAGGCCAGCAAAACCGTTCTGCTATAAGCTTGGTGGTTGCACGAACACCTGGATGCGAAAGTTTGTGCAATGTGTTGAAGACATTGCGTCGATAATGTTTCGGCACGATTGGGCGAAACGAAGGCGGGGACAAAGTCTTAAGCTTGAATACTTTAGGTGTCTGTTCAGTCATGATGAAGTATGAAGTACGAGGGGAAAAATATATATATCCAAGAAAAAACACGAAAAAAAAAATCACAATGTTTAAAAAAAAATAAAAAATAAGGCAATGATATATAAAAATCCCAAAAAGGAACAGACTCACAGTTGCAATTAGGTGTACCAGATCACGTCGGTCTCACCAATGATGATGTCACAGGTATTCAGTGTTTGACAACGTTTCTACCAGTAACACCTTCTAATGTATTTCGTTCCCACCCAGAGAAATCAAAAGACAGAGTCGAGGAGATCGGAAGAGTATATTTGGCGATGACCAATATATCGGAATTCTCTGATCTAATCTGGCTAGCGATTGCGGTTGATGTTGAGCACGGCGTTACCACACGTGATCTGGTGCGGATGCCTGACCGAGCGCCTTCAGCTAGATGAGTCCACTAAAACATATGGTCAGCATCCAATGTTGAAAACTTACAGAGCTATTTATTTTGGGGATTTATTTACCACTACAATATCCTCTGTTTTTCTTCCTACCAGATTGGGATAAATAGAGAACATAGCAGGCAAGTAGAAATGCCAAGAACAAACAAAATACACGTGGCATACAAGTTGTCCTCGATTTTTGGGACATGTTACTAGAGGTAGTGGCATTCGCACCTTCACTTGACTCATTCAACAGAAGACTAGACACTCACAGAAGCATACTAGAAGTGAAATAACATAGGCCGTAGACTTTCTATCTTTACTAAACAAATCTGAATCCTAATCTGAAATACTTTAACCGTTGTAAAATGGGGTACATTAAGGGGATTTGTAGAGTTACTGTTCGTTTTTCACTAGTGATGACAATCCCTGTTGTTCAAATTTTTTTAGGTTTGGTTTTTCTAATGACCGTGTATCTTTGTCCACGATTTTGAAAGGTAATGTCCATATTTGAAAGTGATTATATAGCTCTCTTGGTTTAATCCATGACTTTATTTTTGACACAAGATGTCTAGAGTCCATTATTTCATTTTAGAAAATCTAAATCTTTAGATTTTAATGTTGCAGTACGACCCACTGAAGTCTCATTATTGGGCATTACTGCACAAAATCTGTTAATGAGATGCTTTGGGTTGCTAATAAGAGACGGTTGCTCTTCATAGATGCCTTGTGTGTTTTTAGTTAGTGAAAATGTCTGTGAATGCTGGGTATAATAAATTTGAAAAGGCTTAAAATGGAGTTTTCTTTATTAGTTTCTAAAGAAAAGTCTGGTGCTTTGCGTAAAGATTTGATAGCTGAATGTGATAAGTGCAGTGGAGGTAAGAAAATTCAGCTCATAAAACTTGAAGTACAGGGTGATCCAGTTTTTCTTAAAAGGACCATAAGGGATTATTCGAATAATCCCTTATGGTCCTTGAGAAACAGTAAATAAGACATTGGACAATTTGTGTACTAAACGTGTAATTGAACCGATTCGGTTTTTAGTATGAGGTTGCAGTGGCTGTGCTTCGTTGACCAATCACCCTCGTAACCGTTACCATATAATCCTCAAAGGTGTTTGAAATCAGAAGGCAAAGAGAAGCAGCAACTACAGTTTTATTAGCAGATAACTCAGACCAAAAAGCAGAGAGGCAAATGAATGAGTCAGCGAACTGTGAGTGTAGAGTGTAAATGTACGTCTATAAATATAGGGAAATGAATAGATCATCGAATCAGTTAAGCAGCTAATAATAAAACTAGCAGGATGGATAGATGCGTAGGCGGTAAGCAAAGTTCAAGCATACATATTTCATACAAGCACAACAACAATAAATGTACAATAAGTTGTTACAGTACGGATGACTTGTTTACTAGTGGATGCTCTTCAGTACTATTTCCGTTTTATTCCTAATTTACCTTGTTTTGCCAATTGTCTATTTAATATTTTGACATTGAATTCATTCAAATGTGGTGAGGAACAAGTGTCGTGCTTACGAAGTCTGCTAAAGTTCCTTCAAAGTGATGCTGTTCTTCAAAGTTACACCTCTAGTGTACATTCTATGCTTATTACTGATGCATCACCTGTGGGTATCGGCGCAGTTTTAGAGCAGGAAGGTAGGCCAGTTATCTGTGTTTCACATAAAATTACTGTTAATGAACAAGATTATTCACAAACTCAGCGAGAAGAATTATCTGTGTTTTCGGCTGTCAAACGAGTTCAGAAATATTTATTTGGTGACAAATTCACTGTTGTTTCAGATCACGAAGATCTAAAGTTCATTTATAATCCTGAAAAATCCTTAGCACGTTCCTCATCTTCTATGGTTCAACGATGGAGTATTGCTTTGAGTGCCTATGACTATACGATTCAGCACAGAAGTGTCAAATTCAACATAGCGACTACATATCTCGAAAATCTTTCCACGATAAACCTGTTAATACTGACGACTGTTTGTTAGTACAACCTTTTACCAGTGAGAAATTCAGATCTCTCTGGAGAAACTCGTCGGTACTGTTGATGTATACTCGGTGTCGTACGAAAAGGTTGGAATGCTAATCCAAAACGTATATTTCCTGACTATTTTTCAAAGCGGGACGAGTTATCCACTACTCCTGATGGTATTTTGTATTTTAATGGTCGTGTTGTTATTCCTCCTTCATTATGTAGATCTGCCCTTGAAAATCATTATGATGGACATTTAGGCATCTAGAAAATGAAATCCTCGGCTAGGCTCACATGCTGGTGGCCGGAGATAAATGTAGATGTACGTCGTTCAGAAGAACTCATGTCTGTCGACATAAGTAGCATGTAACACCAACCAGAAGAGGAATGCATAACAGAAAAAGGCTATGAAGGTCAATTTAAAGAAAACAGAAACGGATATAGTAAGGAATTATGACTTGGAAGAACCATACAGAATGTGAAGGTCAAATGATGGAATTTTGCAAATAAAGTATTCATTGTATGGTTCGCACATTTTTACTAAGATATTCTTTAATTTTGTATTAAATAATAAATTAATCATCTCCACCTGAGTTCTCGTTTACAACAATTGGATAAATGAGCTTATATTCATTCACTTGATAGTTAGCGTTATAATATCACCAATGATAAATGTATGAGAAATTCAGTATCAATATATGGCTTCAAGAAATTGATCATTATTTATGAAGAAAAAATATATATAAAATTTATTATTTTAATTCTCATTGTTACGAATATTATCTGACAAAATAAACGTTAAGGTATGATAAAGCACATTATCTGATATTAAAAAACTGGAAAACAAACTGCAAAAATAAACCAATAAAAAGTGGTTTATATAAAAAAAGAAAAAAAATGACGTAAAATGTTTATCATAAAAGATTTTCTCTTTAGAAAAAAATAGTATGGTGAAATAGTTCAAATAAAAATAATGCTCATAGTTACCATGTTGATAATCTTCTTCTGAATGTGTAAAAAAATAAGTGAACATTTATTTTAGCGAATAAAAAGAAGAGTTAAACAAAACACGATTTACAATCTACTCATTCATAATATAAGTTGATACATTATTACTATTATTATGATTATTTTCTAGTTGTAAAAAGAGAAGTATTATGTTAAATGTAGACAGATTTTCTTGATATTATTAGTTTTATAATAAATGAGTGTATAATTCTTCATCTGCCGTTTTAACACAAGCGCGTAATTCACAACCAGTACGATGTCGAATAAGACATGATTCATTTAAAAATGTTTTCTGACATAATTGACATCTTAATAATTCTAAACCATGATGACGTTGTTGATGTCGTTTTAAAGAAGTTGAATAAAGAAATTTTGCTGAGCATAAGTTACATGAATAAGGTTTTTCTTTTGTATGTATTCTTAAGTGTCGACTGTAGTTACTTGGTTGGATAAATTCTTTACCGCATGTTTGACAGCTATATTAAAAAAAAAGATAATTATGATTAAGAAATGATTATCAAAATATAATGTTATCGAAAAAAATAAGCCAAAAATACCGTACAACATTAAAGTCATAAATTGGCTGAAATTGATGCTTATCGGAGTAGCTATATGGAAAGACGTCGTGTGGAGCATAAATAATCACACATAATCATACACTACGTCCCATAATATTACTAGGATGATGATACCAAATGACTCATATGTGTATTTCAGGAGCAAAACATTATCCTAACAAGACAGAAATAATAATTACCCATAAAGATGATTTTGTTTTCAACTTTAGTAATCTATAAATAAAAAATCGTGAACTAAACTGTGGAGCTCAAGTTACAAATTATTTTGTTTAAGAGGATAACATTTCCACAACCTACGAACCGACACCACTTAGACAACTGTTGAGAACTACGTGACATTAGATGGCCGTTTCATCTCTATCCAAGATGTCTCAAGAGTGCTACTCAAGATCCTACATGGCATAGATCTTAAGAGCTTCGGGTTTCAGTGGGAATACTAACTTGAATTTAGTGGGGCGGATTACAATTTCATTACATAATAGTTGATGTGATGGACTAGTGAGGGTTTTAGTAGGAAGCTGTAAACTATGAAATAGTCTTACGCAAACGGAGGTATTGAATGAGGACCGTACTATATTGAAATTGACCCAAGATGAGAATGTGAAAAATTGCATTTTGAACCAGTGGTTTAAATATATTGAATTTTCTGCAAAAGTACAGTTGTCAAACTATTCATTAAAATATATAGGCAACATTTAACGTGAATTATACTGTAGATTGTTCAATTTACTAGACGAAGTACCATTATATAATGATTTAGACTGAATGCTTACTATCACAAATAATAATGCTTTCAACTATTCGAATAATATTTACCAATCATGTCAGTGGTAGTCATTTGTCTAGGGGTCCAAATAATAAATCCCATGTTGCTAAGTGTAAGAAAGTGACTTACGTATATTTATATCTTGAGCTGTTGTTTAAAAATAGATTATCTCGTCATTAAATAAAAGAGAAAGAAATTAACATCATTTGAATAGAAAGGTCTATGATAATTTTTGAAATAGAAACTGCACAATAACTAAAATGTCCTAGCTTTGAGTAAACTGATTTTTTATCTGAATTATATGAATGTACTGGGCTAATGATAAACTATAAAATAGAGTATAACAAAGTTTTGATTATTAGGATAAATCGCAGCTTGTTCAATATGACTCGATTAGCATTACGGATTAGACAAATTCGCCATTAGTTAATACTTCGATAATCTTTAATAGGAAACCGATATAGTTTGAGTTACTTTAATAGGAGCACCTTAAACTGCAACGGCACGTAAAGCGGGTTCAAATCCTATCCAGACCATTAGCTCCTTGCGAATAAACGTATAATCACCAGACAAGTGTCAGCAAATAAAAAACCTACCATCAGTTTCCACTTAAATGTCATATTTGGATAAATCTAGAGAAATTTCTGAAAAGTTGAAAATCAGGTCACATGATCTATCTCTTGAAATGTAACTTGTGGAATAAATTTGACACAACTGACAACGCCTTTTGAGTTATGTCATACTAGTTCAAATTATTAACTTCCTTTCCCCTAATTATGAAATAATGCCAACAGTATCAATTTTTTCAGTCAACAACTGACATATTTATAATATTTAAATAATTTTAAGACTGAAAAGTTTACCGGAATTGCATTTCCTTCGTATGTACCCTTCTGTGCATGCGAAAATTGCTTGCATTACTAAATTTCTTTGCACACAATTCACATTGATATGGTGTTTCACCTGTATGAATTCGTATATGAGCATAAAATCCACTAACATGGCGAAATGCTTTTCCACACACCTAATGGAATAAGAACATATTAGTTGGTTAAATCTGTTGTTTTAGACAGATACTGAAAGAAAATCTTGTTTGAAATAAAGTGAAACCAAGACCAATATTCTAATGTATTCTAGTGTACTACTTAATAACTAGTTAGTAGTTAACATTCAAACCAGTATTTTTGTTTACTTGTATCATGTTGGCGGATTAGAATAAAAAATTTACAAAAATGTATGGTTTATCTCAATCTTTTGATGACATTATTTAGATGAATGCAATACAAAATTCTCGGGTTGTTCATGTCATAATCATTACACATTATGCATTTGTGGTTTTTAGAAAAGTTCATTTTGAGGGAGTTTCAAATAAGAGCAGACTGACAAATCTTTTCTCATACAAAAGTGACCGTCAACTGAACTGAATGAAAGTGTCAGAATATCCTAAGTTTATCATGTTTGGTCTGTTTCGTAATGTTATAAGCGTATTAGAATTAAATGAACATTCAGGTAAATGCTTGTATATTAGCACCTTTTTACCATAGTGAATAAAAGTTGTAATCCTGGTACAATCCTCTTCTCAGCCTGATTAGTGAAATTCAACTAACTTTGAATCCACATTGATTGGCAGATAAAATGAATTCTAACTACTTGAACATATTTCGATTCACGCTAATCACAATAATATATTAAAACCTGCGGTGTCCGCGTCTGACACTGATAAACAAATTTCCTATATGCAAGTTCTCAACTGGTTGCTGAGCGAGAGAACCAGGACTAAAGAAGATAATTTATTGACCTAAACCAAATTGCACGTATAAACACTCATTCATTTACATAATTCTCTACTGTTTGGAAAATGAAGCTATTTCTTGGCCGATATCATTCGTTTGTCATTTAAGAGATCGACTGGTACAAGTGGTCTTTTTATTTAATGACTTTTCACTGGCCCACTGTAGTAAAGCGATGTTTTTCCCTACATTTTAAACGTAGATTCCAGTACCTATACGTAAATATTAAATCATTATTTGCTAGAATTGTTGTTATATATGTGGATTTGAGCACACGTTGAAAGTATTCGGTAGCATCTAGCAAACTGAAATTCAAAATGCATTTAACCTTATTATATAACATTGATTTTTATAAATTAAAATAAAACGAAAGAATTATGAAAGTATACCGATCATATTTAAAAATGCTTTTATCCATCGGTTCACGCCATTATTTCAAGTTAACTACATGCCAATTCATTGAAATCTATTTACTCCAACTACTGGTTACATCTAGTGAATTTCATGGAATATTTAATTTAATCCAATCGCGTTTTTATGAACATTTCTTTGATCCCTTCTTTAAATAAATAATATCCCTATCACAATTGACCCATTTTAGTAAAACATACAATAAACAAAAATCTCACAACTAGGTTGATTTTATCTCAAAGGTTAATAATACTAAGTGAAATTATATATGGCTTTAATGAAATTTCACTAAAAAGGATAGTACTTAAATAAAGAATTTATGTGTTGATAAATTGGTGTTATTTATAAAGAAATTCTATATTGATGGCTCAGGGTTCCTGAAAAGAATAGTTAAGGTGAACTACCTAGTTGTAAAACAATTTTTAAGATTGAATAATCATCTTCCCGTTATGTATTCAAAAGACTATTAATGATGTCAGTGGTTCTCTAAGGAATGATAATGCAGAAAACACCCGGACTTTATACGATTTTCAGTCTAATGCCCTAAATCTTAGGATATTGATTAAGCTTGAGGTTTAAGTGATTCGTCGAAATTTTTTCAACTGAATTACATTATTTTGCAGTGATCTTTTTGTTAACTTTTTTGGTTAATTCCAATTTTCTGCTGAACCAATTTTATTGCGAAAATGACAGAAGACTTCATTTGGTGTGTTTATTAATGAGTAGTATTCTTACGTGTTAGTGAAACGTTTATTATTAATTTCAGTAGGTTTTGGTATAAAACAATATCTACAGATAGCTTTATAATAGCTTAGTAATAACTTTTTATACATGAAGATGATATCTCTGAAATTTTGAGAGAGTATTATCGTTCAAGTGCTAATCTTCGTTTCACTTATGTACTTGGTCACAAATTTGTCAACTATCCAATTCTATAAATACATTAGTTGACAATGTCGACTTCTTCCTGTTTTAACATATAAAATTCCTCGAAATATTGATCATTATTACTAGCAGCTACTTAACCATAAATTAAACTTTCATTTCTGCAAAGTCATTAATAGGCAGGAAACTACCAATCATACGTAAATTATTGATATTCAAAACAACACTACAGTTAAAATTTTTGATTACATTTTTGTATCTTCGTTAATGAGGTGACAATTTTCTATTTTATAGTTTGTATTCATCACAAATTGATTTCAATTAAGGTGTGATGTGGGTTACTTATGTCCATACAAGTGATCAGGCATAGAATGTACTTCAGAGGATGATCGATAAGGAAAGAACGGAAACGGAACAGTTGGTAAGAAAATGCATGAACAATGAAATCTGAGACAATGGATTGATATTTTGCAAATTGATTATTTAGTATATGGTTCTCAGATTTTATTGAGATGCTCTGTAATTTCGTGTCAAATACATTCGATTATCCCCACTCGTGTTTTTGTTCACTACGAAAGTAGTGACTATGGAACAGTACAGATGTTTTTTCCTAGTACGGTACTTCTAATCAGTTTGCACCCGAGAGGAAAACGGAGATCAAACTCAAGGTCTTCAGGGCTCACAATGAACGCTATGAATAATAATAATAATAATAATAATAATATTAATAGCAATTTACTTACTTCACATTCAAATGGTTTTTCATCATTATGTATCCTCATATGATTTTTTAAATCGGATGGATTTGAAAAACCATGTTTGCATTCTAAACAAACAAATCGTTTTTCATCATGAATTCGTACATGAGAACGTAGATAAGTTTCTGTAGCGAAATCTGCTGAGCATATACCACAAATATATTCACGTGGACCATGAACACGTTTTTTATGATCAGATAAAGCCGCTTGATGTCTAAATAATCATGATTAATAAAAAGTGAACAGAAATTTCATTTAATGTTCATAGGAAAGTTATTGATACAGTCAAAAACTTGACACATCTTAAATCTCTGCTCACGTTGAAATATGAAAAATTATTATTACTCAAGACTTATAGACTTTAAAAAAATTAATAGACAACATGAAACTATGCAACTACTTCGAACATTGTTAGAACATGATGAAATAAAACAATAATGTCTATAGAACAAAATGACATATAACACTTCATGTACCCACTTAAAGTTTGAAAATATATTCAGAAATAGTGAGGAAAAAGCTGTTAATGTGCACCTAATTGGAATAACGACAGTTAATGAAATCTGAGACATTTCATTTAGTCTTATGACTCAATAGTTAGATGAGATTATAAACCAGTAAATACACTTTCATTATTATTTCATAAGAAATGATCTATTTTATAACGTAAATACAGAAAGAATAATGCATTACGTACTACTATGCTCAACAACAATATTCTTGTAAATAAGCTATTAAAACACTAAAAGGCAATGAATTTGCATTCGGTTTAATGACAAGATTCTATAACATAGATTGAGCGTTCATTAATTCATAGAGTTTTTCACTATTCAGTATGTGTGCGGTATCAAGCATTTTTGGATATTTTCCCCTTCACTTAATCAATAAAAGGTGCATGCTAGAGCATTACTTTCACTGACGACTTCATTTTAGGCTGTGACTTCCAATCAGTTCAGCTTTTTCAACTTGCAAATTGAGATGCACTACAATGAGGTGTTCATAAAAGACATACGCAGATAGCTTTAGATGATGGAAAAGGAAACTTCATTGAAAATCATGCTCTTATATACAACACTCACCCACTAAATGAATGACAGAAATGCTCAAAAATTCTAAATTCTGCAGTTTTACTAAACATTAAAAGATAGTTAACGTCACAAGATACTTCAAAAAAACCTATTACAATGTTTTGACAATTCCCAGTACACTAAACAAGTTTACACTGTCATCTCTGTCTATTGTTATGCCTGAAGAAACCCTTGACTGGCTTGCGTTTCTTAATGAAACCCGGAACCCGACAACTTGTAGTGAAATCACAAGGACTGGCGATATGGATTTGTTGGATATCCAAAATAAATCAAAATGATAACTTAATTTGCCATTTTTTAAGTGATTTATTAATAGTCAATTTATAAATGTTCACAGGAATCATTAAATCCTTTTAATAATCAGCGCAAAAGTTAGACACTAATGGTTTTCAGAGTTATTTTTATACTAATAATTTGTTTAAGATTATTTGGTTGATTAAGATAAAGATTCAGTATATTAAAACTCTGAAAACAAAATACATGACTAGGAATAAACGTTGAAACGCACTATTAGGGTATGTCCCAGATCTCACAATATTTGAAAAAGTTATTTTATTCCATTATTCAAGATAGTTACCTAATTCGAAATACAATTCGAAAAGTGATTCCATATAAGATGGTAGATTATATGATTCTTGTTCTATAGCAGTTCAAATTATCTCGGATTAATAAATGAGTAGTTACACGTTACGTGCAACAAACTACTAATATTTTAAAAGTAGCTGTAAGAGTAAACTAAAGCCAGTTGGCTAATCATTGATATCCAGAAAACAATAGATAAGTATGTAATCTCAGTTGGTGATTCCCTAAAAGTTTCCACCTGTAACTTCACATACGATAAACTGTGACCTTCAGGGTTCACATTATGCATGATAGAGAAAGGACAGTGAGTTTTCATTGAATGATTTGAATTTCAAACATCAGAAGGGTTTTAACCTAACGTAACTGTCCTATTCCTTTCTTGGTTAACTATAGAGGTCATGACTTTCCAAAAACGACACTAAGCCACCTGAAGGCTATCCAGTAACTAATACACGTTTTTTATCGATCAATTCACTAAGTTATTTGGAGGACTTGAAGTTTATAGGTCAAATATGTTTTTGGGTTGTCTGGAGAGCGCAGATCTAAACAAAATACCTCTCTAGTGTTACTGTGGTGTTTGGATGAACTACTGATTCATATGTACATATTGGATGCTTGATTTCGAATTTCAAATACAGTACATTCGTTCGTGCTTATCTAGTACTTCTTGATCCAATTGCGTTATTTCTGGGGTTCTTAGTTCGTACTATAATTCAAATACTCCTGATTATCACCGTTCCCTAGTTTTTAATGGTTTCTCAACTACTGCTAAGTGTGATAAAATGACATATAAGTCATACAAATGCTCTACAAGACCAATGTATTATAAGTGAACATTGGTAGTTAAACTTTAAAACTTATAATGTTAGATTTAAATCTGATAAAGTCTGATTTGATTTTTGATCCTAGGAATTAAATAAAATTTTTGCTAAAATAATTCGCTAAATATGAAAGATACACACATTATTCATAGATAACTGTATATTTTTTGTATGGGATAAAGATCATCATCCAAGTTATACAATAATAGTAATTAATTTTAAACAAGAACAGACTAAAATTATCACTTCAAACTAGGCATAAAAAGCGTGCGCTTTCCAAACACATATTCAAACATGACCTAACATGGCCATCTAAAGGTGAATGTAAGTCAGACAACAGTATTTTTGTTAAAAATCTGATATAGATCTCTACCAAAATCCTCATTTAAATTTATCAGCAAAAATGAACAGATTCTAGAGGAAGCTACATAAGAAATTTGTACATAACGGAGGATTTAGGAATTTATCAACTGATGTGTACGAAGGCGTTTTGTCTAATTGTTTATTCTACTTGGTGTTAGTAATCACTTCTTATTTCATAAATTAATTTTGACACATGCTAATCTCTTCGTTGTCTTCCTTATATTCCTCAATGCTGAAAATTAATATTCACAACTCTCTTTCATATTTTATTATCATTTTTATTACTTTCAGACTATTTTCTAACTTTATTCGACACTTGAAATTCTGACCACATTTTGGTATCTTCGTTAATGAGGTAACAATTTTCTATTTTATAGTGTGTATTCGTCACAGAATGATTTCAGTTAAGGTACCAATAATGATTATGGAACACCGTACAGCTGTTTTACCTAGTATGGCACTTCTCATCAGTTTTTACCCACGAGGTCAACGGAGATCAAATTCACGATCTTCATATTCCATGGTAAAACTATAATAAATAAAAACTACAAACTATGACTAATTTACACAAAACTCGTTCGACTAAGCTATAACAGTCAACTCACTAATGAATTACTTCAAGATGTTTATGAAGTTCTAATGAGAGGTCATGGTTGGCTGGATTTAGACAGTATTGCTACTAATGACACTTGCTTATCGTCACGCTTCTTCTCAAACTTACCAAGGTTGAAATTTCACCACTAAGAGGTAACCCAAGGTTTCTAACGGTTGAGAGTTCGTCATGAGGTTTGGAGGTTTTAGGTTCAATATTTGGTGAATTCAAGAGTGCACAATATCTAGCAGTCCCATACAAGGACGAAATAGCTCTCTAGTGCCCCCTGGTTTTCAATAGTATGTTAACTGAGATCACTCTGCGAGAAATACAACCTAAAAGTTAAAACCAAATTTTGTAAAACCCTGACAACTAAATTTTCTATTTCATAATAGATTAAAATGTGCAAAGTATGTATGAATGTGATCATAGTAAAGAAAGAAATTTTCTTTCGCCTAACTATCTTCATTTAATGACTTAATTAATTTCCTTTGTCATTTAACGTGAATAAGAGGTATAATGACCAAAATTATTTTGTGAATGTTGTAATGATCGTTTACAAAAACTGACAACATTCGACTTAATTCATTTATTCAAGATTTGGTGTCACATACTGAAAAACGTCTCTTGTCAATTTCGTTTCTGTTTCTCTCTCATTTTTATGCCTGAAAATTTATCTTCCTTGAAAGAAAAATAGATAAAAACAGATTGAGTGTTTGCTTTCAATTAAATGCTATACATGAAAATTAATTACACTGAAAAAAAAATCATCAAAAGTTGTAAAGAGTATGAGAAGATATACTAAAACAGTTTGAAAACTCAGTTATCAAACTACTTAATGGACGTGAAGGTTATGAATAGCATATGATTGAACCAAATCCATGATATTTTTAATAGACATTCTAAACATTAGCTTCATATATCATGTTTATCAGGTATTCTGTTATAACAAATTGTTAATTAAATTAACAAAATGTTTAAAATCTGTTCATTTTTTTTGTTTAGTTTTAATGCTAATTATGTAAAATAAAAATTGAACAGAAGAATGTTCAAATTGATCATCTCTATTTACTTAAATAAAGTCATTTAATCGAAAGGGTTTTTGTGAATATCATCGTAATTTCAATAGGTGGGATCATGAGTCAATTGAAGCTAGACCATCATAGAAAGTCTGAATGCACTGGATGGCCGTTTCGTCCTATTGTGGGGCTCCTCAACAGTGCGCATTAACGATTCCGCATATATTCACTAGTGACTGGCTTCAAGAGGTATTTCCTGGAGTTCTAGTGAGGAGCAGTGACCAGTGGAGTTCAGTCAGGTCTGTTATGAAATAGTAACTCATTGACGACAATGGTGAATGTGTCGCTCAATTTCGTGGATTATTAGAAGTTATAAATTAACACCATTGGATGGGGGCCCAATGGTCTAGAGGTTAAGCGTTCCCGCGCGAGACCGATAGGTACTGGGTTCGAATCCCGCGGGGCGGGGTCGTCGATGCGCACTGCTGAGTAGTCCCACAATGTGACGAAACGGCCCTCCAGTGCTTCCAGGTTTTACATGGTGGTCTAGCTTCAATTGACTCATAATCTCAACTTTTGAAATTATTCAATCGACTAATTAAATTCATTCATAAACTCTAATTACAGTGAATGGTTAAAAGTACATTACTGGTTACTAATTATTAATTGGTTTTTTTGATTACACAAATACGAAATGTACCTACGTTTAATTATGAGTCATATTCGTTTTACTATCCGTTAGTTAATCG